TCTCTCTCTCTCTCTCTCTCTCTCTCTCTCTCTCTCTCTCTCTCTCTCTCTCTCTCTCTTTTTTTTTTTTTTCGAAACTGGGAAAGTTGCCCAGACTTCGCCTCCAGGTTTAACCGAGCTCCACTTGGGACAGGCAGCGTGAAGCGGGCTGAGGGGACATTTCTTTAGCGGTAAGACGTTGAATGAAGAGGTGTAGATCCTGACAGGGACATTGTTTTATGGTGTTTTAATTTAACCCCGTCGTTCTTCGAGCTCACCGGCAGCTCTTTGTCCTACTAGCCGCTGGGACGTTAGCTACTTCCGGAAAGCAACCTTCACTCAGGTAAGACGAGTTTCAGCCTCGACTCGAGAAAAATAGTTGTTTTTAAATGTTTTTATGAGACTTTTTAAGCGTGGGGACAGAAATAGAGCGAATGCTAGTATGTGTTGTGTTAGAAAACGTCCGCTCGGTGACAGAAAAGTGTTTGTTTTATTTTATTTATGTATTTTGTCAAGGTGTGCAGCAGTTAGCGCCCTGTCAGCCAGCAGCCTGAGCTGAAGGTGAAGCCATGTTCTGCTCCCTCTCTACCTGAGATATTTACCAAAGTTCCCAGTAAAACCAGAAAAACGCAAGTTTTATTGCCTTCTCTGTCACTGGGATCTGTCACATTCAGTGTTGACAGGCTGCTGTGAGTTATTTATGGCTTCAGTCTTGACAGGAGGGAAAATATCTTTGTTTCTAAAATAGTCTTTTCACATTCTGAGGATGTCAGCATTTTGTCTTTTATGCTCATTTATAAGCAGAATTTAACATATTTGTGTAATATGTTTAATTGACTCATTTTATATTTTTGACATAATGAGGAAGTTATATTCACAGTTGTTGGATTAGTGACATTACTTTGCATGTCTGCTGTTAAAAGATGAATTGTTTTGCATAAAATGTAAAGAAATTTGTTGCTGTTCCATGAAGAACCATAAGGAGACCAGGGTTTCTGCACTTGATCTTGCCGGCTGCCATGAAAGACAATCGTGTAATTGCTCGTGTGTTTGTCTAAACCACTGGAAAGTCAACACGACTCAACCTTTCCATTGCTGTTGTTCCACCATAACGAGCGCAATCAATGCTGTAACCCAGAAATATCAATATAATGAGTTAAAATCTGGTGTGGTAGTAACTGAGAGTCAACCTAACATAATTTGAGTGTTAAAAAAATGAAAGATCTTTAAAACTTTGGCGAGCATGGTAGCAGGCAATATAAGGGAATACTTTTACAGATATTAAGCTCGTTTTTAGTGTAGTAGTTAGTTGCTTCATCCCCAACAAAATCTCCAGGCCCCAACAGATTGCGCAACATGTGTTTTTAACACTGTACCTGGCAAGGTAGCCAGTGATGCTACTTTCATTTCTTCAAATTTGCTCAACCAAGTCACAAGTTTAAAAATAATCGGACCAAACTAATGCCACACAGTTTAAAGTTTTGGAAACTTAAAACACATACACACGCACATAAGCTGAAATTATCTGAA